CCATGACCAAGTTGCTAAAACATGGTAAACGACTTCTAAAAAAAGTTATCTTAAACTGAAATGAATTAATTAAAGTAATTTAAATTTAATAAAATTTAAATGAATCATAATTATATTAAATTACATTAGTTTCACTTAAATTAGATTAGATTTAATCAAACAAATGCACTCTAATTAGAATTAATCGAAGTGAATAAATTTGAATTAAGTTGATTTCTGTGTCTTACATTAATAATAAATTTTATAAATTAAATTAAGCAAGTCCTTGACATTTGGTAGACTCCGAAATGAAAGTATCATGAATTAGTTAAACGTGTAAATGGACATTTGATACAAAATTGAGCAGCATTCGCTCTATTTCTTTTCGGATGATGAAGGACTGTTGGTTGCATGTTTACAAGGAGATGATTCGGATTTCACATGACCTTGCTTCCAAAAAGATCTTCTTCTCCAGGCAAGCTGGAAACAGCAATCCAGTCCAGTTTATTCTGGATGAGAGCACCTTTTGTAAGGCAACATTGTGTACAATTGAATGGAAGCGTGAGGCTTTTCGGTAATTCATACATTATATACTCTATCATGTCATGTGAAATAGATTGAATTCAGCTCCGAAGTAGATTTCACGCACAAATGGAAATAGAAAATGGATATTTGCTTGCGTGAATAAACACTGAAATTCGGCTAAAATTGATATGACTTAATTCTAGGGTCGCTTAGTGAAAAAAATCTTTTGACTTCCTAAATTAGTAGTTGATCGTCTACTTTGCCCGCCAGCGACACGATGAAGGAGGTTGGTAAGTACAATACACGTACGATCATACACATAAATATGCGCCAAAATGTAATCAAATAGCCGTGACCACATCTGCTTTACTCGTCTGCAAGCATGCAGCATAAGCATGGAGAAGTCAACCGAAGCACGAGCTGTCGCAATCGGATCACAAAAGTAGGTATCAAAAGTGTGTATCATCTGCAGCCGGTCTTTCTTCTTGATCGAGTGAATTGGAGATTTTCATGAAAATGACAAGAAATAGGACATTCAGCAGCTAACCTGTCGCGACTATACGATGCGCCAGCTGAGTTCGAGTCCCGCCGGGGCTTCTGATGACGCCAAAATTGCAAACAACTCAACTCGATGCAAACTTGATGCCTGCATATAATTATGGGAAAACGTAACTAGCAAACTTGTGAATATATATTTAATATAAATGATTTACTGATAGTCTCGACGACTACTTATAAACGAAAATAAGCGGCAAATAGCACCCGATTAGCTTCATATCATCGTAAAGTCTGTTTTGTTTATCTTTCTTGAGCTCACTTCCATCTTGCTCGAAAGTCTGTCTGTGTGTGTGTGTGTGTGTGTGTGTTATGTGACGGAATTCACCGGAGCAGGGGGTATTATTCTTAAAACTGGATTCAGGTAAACGAGTCAAGAAAACTCGCCGGCTTAACCCTTAACGGCTGTACATGCACCCCAAATATATGGATTTTGAAGATGTATACAGTAATTCGACTACTTCAAGTCACGTCTATCTCAAAGTATATGCCTGTGTCCGTTTGTGCGTGCTTGTTCGCCTTCATGTGCACATGCAGCTGTAAAGCTAACAGCAACATCTGCCCTTAGCCATCAAGGCTTGACGACCAGCGCCACCCCTTTTGTGCATATTTCACATTATCCCCCCGATTGCGCAATGCCGGACGCATGTCCGGTTAAGTGTGCTGAGCTTTGTGTCTGTGTGTATTGCGAGAGAAATAGTGAACTAAGACGAATTGAGAATGTGGCCGTGATTAGAAATGTCACCATCAAATGACTTTTTGAGTCACATCATTTTTTCTTGTGGTTCGACACCCTCTCTCTCTCTCTCTCTCTCTTTAAGTCTATCAATCAAGTATGAGTAGTTCTTAGTTAAATTATGTAATCGTGTGCTTAATCGGTTGGTTGTGATGGCCACTCTAATCTTCCGTTTGGCTGCAGACATGCCAGAATCAACAAAACGTCAGGTTTGAGGTCATGTTATTTCATGTCCGCTTTCTGACATGTGTTGTTGCATCTGTGACTTTTGAACTCAACAGCCTCTACAGGCACTTTGTGTCCATACACTCTTTGTCGAATGGGATGGCACGTCAATCCAAACATAAAAGCGACCACATGAACATGTTATTTTGTAGCCGCCCGGACTGGGTAATGATTAGACTTG